TCTTCTCTGTTTAAGACCTTTCCTGGACGGTTTTGGGTTCGCTTGGGAGCTGTATCCGACACGGGGACATTTGTGTCCAGTCTTGGTCTTTTGCTCTGATGACTGCTCTCCGCTTCCTTTGCATGCTTCTGAAGGTCAGTGCGAAGGTTACATGGCTTGCTGGGAAACTTGGAAACCTGCCCGGAGGGCCTTACTTCACTATGGAAGAAACTAAGCAGTGGCTGCCACTGGTCCACAAGCCGTTTCAGGCTCCTTCTAAGAGAGAGCCACCTGGTGCTGACATGCTTTAAAATTTTCTTGGCCTCTACATCGTGGAGAGACTGAAAAGCTTTCAGCTTGTCCTTCCTTTTTGAGCTTTTCTCGAGGTAGTAGAAAATGTCAACTAGCACCTCATCCACATTCAGTGGAAGGCATGCTGAGCCTTTCTGTGCCGCCAGATTGATCAAATGGCAACAGCAGCCCATGATGGCAATGTTCTCATGGCTTTCTTTCAGCACAGCAGCCACTCCGTTTTTTAATCCAATCATGACTGGCGCGTTATCACACGCCATGCCGATGCAGTTCTGGAGCGGTATCTTTTTGCTCGTTAGCGTGTCCACAACAAGCGCACCGATGTTTCGTCCCGTGGAGTTACCTTCGAGGGCAGGCATCGCGAGCAAGGCAGTGCGAACAGTACTATCACAGAACGTCACCACGATTGGATACAGTTTTGCATCGTTGCCGGCGTCATTGCTCCCGTCTGTGGCGACTGAGAACGGAGCGTGCTGCAAGTGACTTATCACTTCGTCGATAGCTTTATTGGCCATTTCCTTCACAATCGCCGTAGTCTTCGTACGGGCGCAGGCGTAGTTCTGAGCTTCCTTCGAGTCCGGAAACATTTTTCGAAAGAGGTCTCCAGCGTGATCAGCAGCCGTGAACGGCACGTTGTGTTCAATCAGGAACGCAGTAAAAAGGCACTCCGCTCGAGTTGTAGTATCGAGATCCGCTTTGCTGAAGTACCCTTCAAGTTTCCCGTTAGAGTCCACAAGTTTCGCCGAGTCTTTGTGTTTCTTCGTATTCACATGTAGCAGAATATCCCGGCGACCAGCGTGCGAAATGTTCACATCACAGCAGCACAAACTACAAAATGCGTACCGCTCACCTTTACGCGACCTCTTAACAAATGGAAAGTGAGTCGAATAGCTGGGAATAAAAACTTGAAAGTATTTCTTCTCAGACATCTCGTGAGCTGCTAGGGCTGAACCATACGCTACCGCTCCGCAAAAACATGTGCAAGGCACCTCCCGCAGCGCATGGTAACAAAGAAAGTCGAGCACATTTTCGCTATCCGTGAAGTCAATGCCTTTTGGCTTTGGCTTTGACTCTGGATATAAGCCAATACAGTGTTGCCTGCATAGCCCCGCAAAAAAAAAAGGCCAGATTCAGCTGGTGCAGTTGACTGTCTGAAGCAGCGCGTTCAGTTTGCGAACTTTTCGACCCGAAACATGAAAAATCGTAAAAATACAGTTGTCATTACGATACTCGTAAAAATGTGCTGAAAATCGGGCACTTTACGATAAAATCGTAAAACTTGGCAGGTATGTAACTGGCAGAGGACGCAAATGTGGGGTTTCGTGCCAGGTCAACAAGAAGCGTTGCAGCGTTACAGCGGTTGCATTCTGAAAGTGGTGGACCCATGGAAAAAACTTTCAGATTCTGAAATCTACTTGCACCATGAACGAAGACAAAAAAGGCATCCATGTGCAGCACTTCGGAAACTTGATGGTTTTCTGTCGCCAATGCTTACAACATCACGCCTGAGAAATTTAAAGCATATAAAAGTTCGGTAGCTGTTGTGCAGGTAAATCTGGTGCACAAATGAAGAGCTATGAGAAGCTAGTCGGTGACTTTGTGTGACAGTGCTTTTAATCTGCCAACATGAACTGTCAACATTTCCAACATTTACATTTTAAAGTATGAGAACAAGTGGAAAAAGCGAAGTTTTTGTCAAAATGTTTTTTTTGCGTTTTCTATATGTTATATGCACAATTTAGTGCCTGTCTTTTTGTTGCATAAACCTTTCATCTTTACCCTTTTTTTTTTTAAAGATACAAGCAAAAATGTTAGACTGCCCAGCCACTACAAAACTGAAACGGAAAGTGCAGTTCTGTGTGCAACATAAAATTAGCTTCATGTGCAGTATTTTTTTTGTTGTTTAGCAATCATATCAAGTGAAAAATTGTGAAAATACTCTAAATGCGTTGTCTACACATCATTTTTAATTATAAAAATCATGTGCTTCTCACTAGCTGAACACGTAAAGTGGTACGTGTGTTGCTCATGCTCAAGGACATGTATGTGAGCCTGTAAACCATCAAATTTACTTAACTTAATGATGTGTGTCATTTCAATAATAGAAAAAGAAGCATATTTGATACTCTAAGCAAATTAAGACCGAGCCCAGCTCCTGCACTAGAAAAACGTGTTGAACAAATGATCAGCACTACAGCGTGAAGCCTAGGGTTGTGGGAATGATTCTGCAAAACAAGCTACAAAAGAAAATTTAGAGTGGCCGCTCGAGAAAAGGCACACGTAGAAAGGTCAACGACAGAACCGGCAAAAAATATTGCGAACTTCTGCCCTCCTGATGATCTTCCGTAGGCACACAACCCGTTTCAAACCTTTCTTTGTGGATTTTTCTCAAAATTTATATTTCTGGTACTTTTCCGTAAATTAACAGTCATAACTCTTTTGCTAATAGACATTTTAAATTAATACTTGGCACACTTCCTGATCACATTGGTAGGCATGCAATGAATCTCAATAAGCAAAATAGTGCCACAAGATTTAATATGGCTGCTTGTTATACGAAGGTGGCGCTTGTGCTAGTGCATACTTTCATATTTAATTACTGTTCTTAATATTCATCAGATCTCATTTGTCTTGGTTTATTTCACAGGCCAAAACTTTGTTCATGCCTCCGCAAAAAAAGTTTTTTTCGATGAGCGGAGCTTGAGTTAGGAGTGTTTGCGCAAGGCATACTTTTAATAAAACATTTAATTATGAAAAATTTACAAAAATAAGACTTGCTTTATAATGCTCACACGGGCCTAAAAAGTTGTGCTTTATATTGTAGACTAATATTCTCAAGTGATTATTGATTTTTTTATTTTTTTTCGTCCCTTGGCCTCATGCCTTAAGGGAATGAACATGCACACACCAGTAGCACGACTCTATTCTCAAAATGGAACAGCTGCTTCTTCCTCTTTTCTTGCACATATGCAGTCTTTCAAAAGTAGTGTTTTGGTTGTGATGCCCACATTCGCTTCTCTGGCAGCTTACGGTAAATAAATGTAGTCTGACCAGCATTGCACCAGCGCCACTGTAGCGTGGTGTGTACACATGAGGACACAAGCATGCTGGAGCGTCGAGACCTCGAGCAACTAGTTCCGTCTACGAAACATGAATTCTCCTTAATTTGCATAACTTTGGTGCAGCATAGTGAAAATGTAGCAGGGTTGGCCTTTTGGAGCAGTTTGGCGCAGTTGGCACAGCTATCGCATCACTGCATACCTCAATTATGGATAGCACAAGAAAGCCAGTTCAGCTATTGTCACAACCGACTCCAATTTTCGGCGCATCCGCGGGTCCCATCTTCCAAGGAAGGGCGTTTTTGTGTTGGGAGGCGACATCCGGCGACTATAATGACCCAGCGTGGCGCCGGCTCGTCTTCCCTGCCCCTGACCGGAAGGGGAACCGGCGGTCTCAACAAGAAAAATTACTCCCAGATGAGATGGGAGCACGTGGACGCCCCTGAAGCTGTTTGAACTGCATCGGAAGAGCAGTTGACGTACAGCCAGCAACAAGTGCGGTCGTCGGTGTCGCGAGTCTCGCGTAGGCGGCGAGCATTGAGTGACCCGCGCAACGTATTGAGACGGCTGCAATTCCGGGCACCCTCGTCGTCTACCAAGCCGGCGAGACCTTCAGCGGCACCCGTCAACTCCCCTACGTGCACCAAGAGCTGGCCTGGTCCGTATGGAACCTTTTATTGTGACTTTTTTAAACTGTTAAGTTATTTCAACCAGCCTTTTTTTTTTTAATATTTGTAGGGTGCGCTGCGTCGCACGTTAAAATTCAAAAGCGCCACCCTAAGCATTCTGTAATTATTGCCTTGTATCTCCTTTGATTCATGTCATTAGTTTAACATTCCGCATATTTGTCTTTAGCCTGTATCTTGTAGTGTTTTTAGCACATTTTGTTATATAGCTGTTCTTTCCATCGCGTCTCAGTGTTATTCCTCCTCTGCTATTTTTGTTAACTCATGCCTTTGCCCTTGTTTCAATTAAATGCTTGTTTATGTGTAGTCATACTCCGTGTCTGCTCTATGAGTGCGTCGGTCAGGCCCACACATCACCACACGTGCAACCCCGCACGGGTCGACCAACCCGCAAATAAATTTGAAATGTGCCACTTCGAGGCCTTTCAGGCGTCGCATGCCGAAGCGTAAAGTGGAAGCCTGCGAGTCTGCCGCACGTCGATGTTGGATCGGCGGGGCCTCACCCGAAGTGCGTGACAGCTATCATAATTGCTATTTTTACTAGTGTACTTCTACTATAGCCAGTTCAGCTGTCATAATTGCTATATTTACTAGTACACTTTTACTTTTTAATGAGTAATATTTTCTTTATGCTACAGCACTAGGCTATACAGTTACAGCTGTAATTAAAAGTGAGATCTTTTTATGTATACATAGACCAAAACAGCACCAAATGTGATCTGGCTTTTGCTGAAAACTCATCAACTGCCATGTGACAAAACCACCACTGCCATCAAGTAAGGGGCTTTTAGAAACATTTTGGAGTTGCACAGGGGTCAAAGCAAGGATTAGGTACAGAGAGCACAAGTGAGCGCTGCAGGATGCAGCAATGACAAGTCTACAGCTGTACTGTCACTTCCTTTTGCATGCAGTGTTCTCTCATGTTGGGTGTTGACAAATCTTTCAGATAGGAGAAGTTACACACCTTAAGGACGAAGCCTTTGGCAATTGCCTGATCCAGCTGATGCTCCACGACATCTGTCCCAAGGCCCAAGACATGGCTGATGCGCTCAAGTGAGGGCCGCTGCTTCTGGCTCTTGATTTTGCGGATGGCCTCAATGAGCCGCCGGGCCTGACCCAGGGACAGGCCGGCCTCGTCCTGCTGCTCCTTCATGGTGACCACTCAGCCAGCGTGCACATGACCCAAAAGTGCCAGGCCCGGCAAGACACGTCCCTCTGCCACCACAGCCCTAGCCAAACTCCATGCCCCCCACAAGGGGCTCAACACTGCAATGATGCCCAAATACAAGCACATTTAGAAACCTGTATGAAAGCAACAGAGAAAGACTACATATCATGAAGCCAAGTTTGATGTAGAACTAACATGTGTACTTTAAGGAAATATAGTGCCGAAACGTCTTGTTTTCGTTTTAAAGTGTTTTATTGCAGTCAGCATTTTGTCTTTTTTTTGTAAGCAAATATAGAGTTCAACAACACAAATACAATGCAGGAACACGTAAACACAGAATAAATTTTGTACACCTAACCTTAGGGCTGTTTCTTTACTTGCATGCTAACAAGAATTCCTAATATTGCAAAAATAAATAAAACGTACAGTGAATCCAAGAACTTCAGGTTCCATTGCGCATGGGGCATTGCGCAAGGGTCTTCTTTTAATGTGATTTTGACATATTAAGTCTTATGGTGCTAATACTTCTCACAACAGTAGTAGTATAAATAACTTGATGTTTGATGTCCCAAAACCAGGGATGCCATAGCGGAGACCTCCGAAAAATTTTTAGCAACAGCATTTGTTTAAATGGACACTGAAGAAAAACAATTGCTGGATTTAGATTGATGAACTGCACTCCAAAAACTCTATCATAAGTTCATTAACAGCAGAGAAAATCAAGGATGACAATGTACATTTTTATCAAGTAGAAGCTCTGTACGACCCAGTAGATGCCTTTAAAATTTACTACGTCACGGTTTTTGGTGTAAAAATTTTGCAGTGGCATCTCTAACCGCATTTTCTTTTTGCGTGTTTCTTCTTCATGTTGCGGTAAAAGTGGTGTTTTCGAGATTGTGAAATTAGACTTCACTAATACGCAAAAAAATTGTTTTGCTTCTTAGTTTCCCTCTAATGTACACCTATACGCACACAGGTTCTCACAACAGCAGTGCAGATGGCACAGTGCCAGAGGACATATATCAAGCACTGCACAAACAATTGACATTAGATGTGATGTCAGTAGTTCATCACTTGCCATGTTGCATTTCTGCCATCTGTAGCCATTACATTCGAGCTGCCATTGTAACACATGTTAACTGATGCCACTGGTCTAGCTCCACTTACAGTAACTAAGGTGTAAATATAGTGATAAAACTACATTTACAACAAAACAAAGTACCAATAATAATTGACTCTTTTAAGTACACTTCAATACTGCAAATATAAGTAGCATCTGGACAAGGAATTGCCAACCCCAGTAATTTTCAAACAACTATGTACACGAAACATAAAAAGCACCACGAAAACTTTTCCAACAATAATATAATTTGTAATATAATTTGCTCTTCCAAAAAAATAATATAAGGCTCCAACTTTAGTTGTGTGACAAGTGAAAGTGCAGGGTTCAAGCTGACACCATACGATGTTTTTTTTTTTTTTTATGCTTCATGCTCCGGTAAATACACTGGCACAGTTAAAGAGTGCAAGAGTAGGTTTTAAATTTTAAGACCAACTAGTTCAGTCTGTGTCATCCTGTTTCAACAAGGGTTATAGTCCTGTCACAGCGGCAAATTTAGGACAATTTTCAATTAGTGAACTTTGCCATAGATGCCACTTGCAGCCAGCCACACAGGAATGCTTTGTGACATTCATGTAAAATGCACTCTAGAGAGGGTGCGTTCAGGGAACGAACTCACTCCACTGCTACCATCATTACACAGCAAACTGTGTAGCCATGGTAGCAGTGCCTCAAAAATAAAGTACCATGGAAAGCAGAGCTGGTAGTATCTTTAGAGCCTTTTTTATGACTAGGAACCTTATTGTATAACAAAAAGCAAGCATCACCAAAAAAGTTTTAAAATCTAGTTAGCTATTCTCAATCTGAGACAGTTTGAGGCAACAGCCAGCAGGTGCATGGCTAATGCTCGTGGATGTCAATGTAATGCTCGTGGATGTCAATGTAACTACAACAGTCTACTTCATCGACACTTGAAAATATTGTTTGTAGAAATAGCACACTGTCATTCAATAAACACTGCCTAAAATAGCATGTATATGCAGTGCTGACTGATTACCATTCATTTACAGGACACCTTTCTTCAACATGTAGCAGCACATCACTGAAGAGACACTTGGTGAGCTGAAGAGAACACTCAAAATCATACTGGTCATAAGCAGCCTTGCCTATATTTGCTTGCAGCAAGCAAGCTACGAAATATAACAAAATGCCACAGTAGAGCACTAAGCTTCATAAAAGGCAATGAGGTTATCCCTGATATTGTTTAACATGTATGAATAAACTCACAATTATTGCTATTATCAAATGTACCAGAACATGTTTCATTGAAAGGTAAGAAGGAGCAATGCATCAAAAAGTTTCCCAAGGCTGCCTGCAAAGATTATGTACTGCATGACCAAAGAAACTAGTATATGTATTTCTGTAATACTTCATATGCTTCCACCAGCATGATGAAGAGCTTGATGGACAGCATAATAGACAGCTATATTAAGTATTAGGCTTTCTAAGGCTGATGTGGGAAAGCATAATTTCTTAAATTAAAGCAGCCACAAGAAATTTTTCATCCAGACAAAAGCTCAACTTAAAGCCTACTCCTAGTGCTTTACACAAAACCTGTCACATATCTTGTCGACCAAACATGCTTTTTGAATACATCTTAATTGAGAAATGACAAAGAAATTTGATTCTTTCATGGCTAATATTCAATACTTAATTTACTGCTGCTCATAAATTAACAATATTATAACATCAGTAGACCAAACTTTCAACAGGTAAAGCACATTGCCCCTATTGTTAAAGTAACAAGCAGTACAAAAGGTCCCTGTAGCCAATATATATGCCAATGTTTACAATAAAACTCCATGGGCCATACCACTACACGGTGATGGCAGTCCTTATGTCGTAAAAACCATAATTTATTTGTTTTCTTTCAATGTTGTTAGACCAACTTGAGTAATAGCAAAAGCAAACAAACGATAGAGGAACTTCACTTTCATATGGTCATTAACATCACAATCTAAGCTCATTCTAAAGTCATTGGTAATGTTAACCCCACCATTAAAATTCACAATATCAAGACACTTCTGTCAATAAAGAAGTGCTTCAGTGTTCTTCAGAAGCCCTTCTTGGAAAAAATTAATGCCACAATGACACAGTAAGGGGACATAGATATAGAGGCCTATATATCTTTGCCACCTTACTATGTAAAATCAAAATATCAGCACAATGAGAAAAAAAATGGCCCACCAGTCCAAACTGCGGCCCTCATGCCCTGTGCCCACATTTAACAACACGTCATGCATTACTGCCATGTTAGAAAGAAATAACGCTCACATAGTGTGGCCCAGAACTTGACACAAAATTTGTGCCCATGCCAAACATTTTAATTTTGCACAATTCAAGCGCTCCTGTTTACACTATAAATCATTTGCACTTAATATGACACTAGCCCACTACACTAACAGCATGCAATGCTAACTCGTATTATTGACATATTTTGTTTTGTTTTTAACCGAGATTAGCACCATTTGAAGTTGAGAAAAAATATCGATAAGCCTAGGACTGCTGTAATTATCACTATTGCTTATACACAGCCTCCTTTATTCATTATTAGCGAAGAGGTGATCATGTGGGATCATCTCGACACATAAATACAGCTCCCTTGCTCGTTGTTATGCTGCTATATCGGTTGTCAAAATGCTTAACTGCCTAGCCAGAGAAAGCATGAAAACTTTACCAACTCCTGGCCCACATGTCATCTAATCATGAATAAAATAGACAAATATTAATTATGGTGCTCCAAGGCTCTCCAGTATCTTTACTCAGGTACCTTAATTTAACTCCAATACAGCAGAAGAAACATTCAGTGTTCCTGGCATTGACAACCACAAAAACTGCACTGTTATACAATGTCAAGAATGTTTACTAACGTGCCCCCCCCCCTCAAAAAAAAAAACAGAATTCAAATGTAATTCAAAAACAAGAAAGCAATACAAGAATACCAATGCGAACCATTAACATCAGAAAAACTAGGAATATCAAAGCAAGAAAGGTACATTTTTAGCTGCTTGCTAAGCACTGACATTAAAAAAAGTAACCAAACCAATGAATAGAATGTGAACTCTGATACACTCTGATAGGACAAACGATGCAAGCACACTATAACCTTGCCTTGTAGCCATGCTTACAACATTACAATGAAAGGGCTCGCTTAAAAAGCTGCTTTACACGCAGCCAAAGCTTCACCCACGATAAAAAAAAAAAGTCGCATGGCATGCGTGCTTCAAGCATCAATAATACTCATTTTCAATTACAGCCGATCCCCTGTCATATACCTCATAGGGTTATCAATACGCTACATGCACTGTGGGCACAATAATCTAGTAGTAAAGACTCTTGCTCGACACTATTATTCCTTGTTTTTCACGGGGTGGCATATGAGAAAACAAGCAGGAGTTAGCATACGATTTGTAAACTGAGCAACTAAGTTGACCTACACGAGAGTCCGTTTGCTTCAATGCGCCTGAAACCGTGACCACGCAACACCCTTACGTCAAGGTACTCTAATTATGAGTGAACAGGAGAAATGTGACACGTAGTTTGCCCTGATATAGGAAAACTGCGCAGTGAAGACAAAACATCGGAACGAAAGGGTGGAGACATGCAGCCCAATGGTCGACGAAGATTTCAGCGCGCGCATTTCCAGCGCGTCAAAAACTGCACACGGCGGGGCAAGAGTGGCAGCAATGCGTAGGACACTAGTTGTTTGCGACCAAGCAATACTTCCAGACACCACCAAGTATATTTAACCATGACACGGTCTTTATATAACGATTTATAATGAAGGAAAAGGCTGATACAATAATAATATCTTTAAGCGGCGCGCAAGCAGAGTAGGGGGTCAGCGCCGTTTAGTAAAGACAAAATCTCTCGTAGAAACGTGTTTCAATCTGACACATTTCGGAACCACCAGCGACAAATCGATTCATCCGCACAGAAGCGGGCGCGAAGGTCTCAATCGGCCTCCGAGAAATCGCGCACGATCGTCGACAAGCAACAAACGCATCGACCCCCGAAACACCAGATGCCATCGCGAATTCCGTTCGCATGGTACCTACGCATGACAGGGACACGCTATCCGCCAGTCACTCAAACGCGTAGCTACTGCCACTGAAACATGCCACCAAGAAGAAAAACCACGGCTCTGCTCGTATTTCAACGAACCTCATAAACAACCACGTTCTCATCCGGCGTCTCGAAACGTAGTCACTCAGGCCATCACATTTCAATACACACCACCACCTGAAGATGGACGACAGGATAACCACAGCGACACGCCATTTCAATGACACAAAGTATCGCTTACCCTTTCACTTTTATTTTTTTTTTCCTCGACGTTCTCGTGCTGTTAAAAGCTAAAAAAAAAACCGCGCAGCAACGAATAGGCTTAATTTGAGTAACGGCAGAGAAAGCGCCAACCATATTCTTCCGAGTGAAGCCCGGCCTTAGAACAGTGCCATCTACATTTCTGTTCGCTAGAGATATTGTAGCGAACTTTAGCGCAGGTTTACGGGTTTGAAATATATACTTTCCTTTGCTAACAAGCCAAATCACACGATTTCACGCCGATCACAGCAGCTTAAACAAGAAAATGGCGGACAAAGAAGACACCGTGGTAACAGTCATGCGGAGCGGTAAAATGTTAGACGACGGCGACACAGCTCAAGTTGCATAGCATATGTTTCACAGGCTCACCTGGAAAATGCGACTGAACTGAAGTGCAAATCTCCACATCAAGTGCCTTTATGGGAACACACAATCGCATACAACTCGCGAACATCGACCCGCAAGCGCAGCGGACCGGACCATGTCGCTTGTGTTTGCCAGTTATTTTTAGGGCGTTGCTCGTAAAGCACGCAAAACCAACAACGGTGCACTTACCTATGACAATTCCTGAATCTACACAGACGTCCAACAGAGGAATCCGACGCGTAAATCAAACGTATTTCGAGTAAAAACACAGCTAACGTAAATATGGCTGATCAGAAATCAAAACGAGGCCATTGATATTCCTTTTCCGGCGCCAGGGGAAAAGATAGCGCCACCGTAGACATTTTCGCCGCGCGGCCGTAGGAGCCGGTGGTGTTTTGCTACTTTGGCAGCTTTTACATTTTTCATGTGTTTTTTATTACTGTTATTGGTGGTTTTGTTTATCAAAAGCACGTAGTGAGACGATAATGTATATTTCCCGATGGCCATTTCGTAAGCGCCGTTAACGACTTAAGGCAGCTTTGGCGCTTTTACGCCGCGGGTAGGTCAGGTAGGCGCCGTCAGAGTATCACAGACTGTATCTAGACGTTCGCTGCCGCATCAAGACAGATCCAGACAAGTTGCACTCGTTTTACACTTTCTCGTGGTTGAAGTTTTTACTTTCTGGGCTGCAGGTTTGTCTTTTCGGATGTATAAACTGAATCGTGTAAACAGTGTTGCATCATGTTGGTATATATGTTCTCTGATGTAGCTCGTACGCCTATAGAGTGGTACGCCAAAAAGCCGCACACCACTGTAAAATTTCCAATGTCCACTGCAATTACACTAGAACTGTACAGAAACGAATTGTAATATGCTGTTAGTGCGTCCCCCAGCACATCTCCACCGGTGGACCAAGATCTCTAACCCGAAAGGTCAATGATTGCTCATTTGGCAACGATTCAGAAAATGCTTGCTATTCATTTAGCTTGCAGATATGCTTATTAATGCTTTAATGTGGCTTCTGTGGTCATGCAGCACCCATTGAACGTGCCCTATGCTAATTTCGCAAGCGAAAGAGCTCATGTTTAGTGTTAAATAATCCATCAGAGCAAGACAAATGACCCGTGAACTTATTCTCAGAACTGTTTCAAATAGTTAGACTCCTGGAGGCAAACTATGTTGGCACCTCGTTCTCGTGAAATAAAAAAACAAGGTTGTCATGGATTTTTTAACATAAGGGAAGGTTGGGTTGTCGCACAAGCTCTGGCTGTACTTGTGGATACATTAGAACACCCATGAGGAGATGTTTATAGCTGGTGTAACACAGTCATTCTTATCGCAATCATGCATAATGTGGATGTAGAACTTATGCATAATGTGAATTTGGTCACTTTTAATTGCAATTAAGCACAATCGGAATCAAGATTATTGCTATCTGTGCATCATGGCAGATCCTTAATCACGATCTTGATAGCATCTGTGATGTGATAATTATACTCATCTATTGACCCATAAAATATTTTGAGGAGATGAGGAAGTAATGCATATTTTACAGCTTATTAGACAAATTGAATAATTATGTTGAACCCTTCAACAACACCTGGTGCAGAGTACAGCCAGACCTGTCTGGGATCATCATACAGTGTACCAGCAGCAATCAACAAATCTGATCAGGACGAGGCCTAATTGAAGGAAGCAACTGTGTGACACTGGTGTGAGGCTCGTCGATCTGATGGCCTTTTGCTTTTGCTTAATAAATAATCACTGTAAAGTCTCAGCTTGACACTATCAAAAAGTGAGAAAGAAAAATGAATATAGCTTGATAGCATCCTGCTTCCGTTAAATCAGCCCCCGTAGTGCACAAGAAATTCGGCTGGTTGTGCAACTGATTTACTAGGTTTCAGCAGTTGACGCTTCATCTACCTGTGAAGCAATCTGTTCCCACTTGTTCAATGTTGCATTATGATCACATATTCAACAATCTGCTTTGTGGCAATTGCAGTGCTGTAGCAATCGCACAAAGCCACTGACTGATGATGACATTGGCTGCAGTATGGTAGGCCATGTAGGCTATATTAATGAAAGCAACATAAAAAATGTTGCCAATAGTGCCCCAAAAAAGTCGCCGAGTGCAGCTGGGCTCAGTGCTGTGAAACTTTCCATTTCAGTATTTATTCAACCTCTAATGAGCTCTTTGCAGTACGCTAGTTTGAGTTTAACTCCCAATTCAAACAAGTAAAATTATGTTGCAGACTACTTCAATCAACAAAATAGACTTGAGATGATTCACTGCATCAAATGATGCGGTTACAGAAAGTAAAAATTAACAGGACTGTACTTGGACATTGTTTAATCAGGCTGCTGTCAGATGTAGTTTCCCTTTACTCCTTGTGTTAACAGGAAATGGCTTTTTTAGGTCTAGCTATCTCAGAATTGCAGTCCAATATTTTGCACAGTTCCTTTCTATAACGCTTGAAATTGATCAGAGGTTGATTTGGGAATTTTTTTTCTCAAAAGCAGTTTGACAATGGAGAAACAATCTTTTATTTCGTAGCAGAAATGTCACTACCAAACGGGTAGCACTCAAGAGAGATCACACATTCATACGTAACGAAGCTTATTTGGTAATGCTGTCGGCAGCTATTGCAAGCCAATAACAACTAATACAAAGCTGCGTACAAAAGTGAGCCTGTATTATATGTCGAGAAGCACTGGCTTTTTCAACTTTGCACACTTCCAAGCAGAATTGATGAGTTTAACGAATCCTGTGTCCTTTGGTTTTTCAAGACCACGGTGAAGGCGTTCCTTCATCACTGACACAAACTCTTTGTTGCTTAGCTGGCCATCCACTGCAAAACAAACAAGATTATTTGAAAATCACTAGCACATCATTCACTCTGCATTGTCCAGCTAAATCGCTAGCATTCTTTCCATGAAACCCTAGCTGTCTTATAATCGCTTCCATGAATACAACATCAAATTATCTAAGCTCATGAAAACGCATGCAGCAAGAGTGGCACTTTTATTGCTTCTGAAAAGTCGCCAAATTTGTTTCAGTGACACTTCACACTTAATATTACATCTTTCTACGATTAATATAACTAGTGTGTAAAATGCTTTAGTACTGTTACATGTACAGTAAAAGCTCGATAATGAGGATTTCCCGGGACCAGAAAAACTGTCAGAGTTAATTGAATGCGTAGTTATCCAAATTCTCAAAAAACAAAATGTTTATTGCATCCATGCTTCATTTTCTTGAGGAATGCATAAATCCAGCAATTATTTTGCATAAGAGCAGTGTAAAAGTTGCAATTTTCGTCTTTGCAACTTCATTCACAAACCGTGTGTATCAATCTGGAATTTGTTCTGAGCTTGTGCCTTATTATGTACCATTGTGATGATCACACCTTTTTGAAGGCCCACGGCCACTTTAGTTGTCCGTGAATGGCACTTTCGTACCTTTGCACTTTTGTGCACTATTCGGATTGTCCGAATTTACCGAGTCATGGCCTCAAATATGACCGAACTAATAAGAGCCTGATGCCATTAAACAAAGCATATGCTGGCTGGGACCAGAGAACATGTCCAATTTATCAAACTGTCCAAATTAAAGCATTCCGAATTAACAAGCCTTTACTGTAGTCGACATTACCCAGAACAACACTCTCGGCATGCAAGTATCTGTTGTTCACTAAAATGTAAAGTTTTGAGACAATAAACACTCATTTTATAGTTAATGTAGATGTTAGTAGCATTTAAGACAACACGAAGCACTTACAGTTTTCATCGAACAGAGTGAAGATGACATCAATGACATAGTCTCTAAGGTCCACATGAGCAACAGTTCTGGCCACATGTTTCAGGGTAGCTTAAAAAAAAAAGGCATAGATTTTCATTGAGCACATAAACCCAACAAAGAAGAAAAAACAGTATGTACAAGACTTGTGTACATGATTTTTTAGCAGCCGTGGAAATTATGGCAATGTGCCAACATTTCGACAGTGCCAGTGAATACACGAAACAAAGATGCTTCTGTAACATCCCTGCAGTGAAAGTGTCAATGCAAGAAAACTGGAAACAGAATAACTATATGCATTGCTATGTATTTTCGAAATGAAGTGTTACATTTATGTTGCGGACATCTTATTTTCACCAAGAAAGTTAAGCATTTTAGGATGACTTAAGACAGCACTTGTGAAACTTGTGTGTTGTAATATTAAGTAGGAAAATCCAAACAAGCAGGGGACAGAAGTCTAGATTGAAGAAGATGGAGCCTCAAAGTGATAAAAAATACACAAATGCTGTTGAGACCAGGGAATGTCGCTGGCTTCAGTAACATTCCGTGTTCCAGTTTTTCATCAATACTTAATGCTAGGAAATATAGACAACACCATGATTTCACAAGGTCTACTAATATGCTAATTCGTTAAGATGACATTTCTGCTCATTACATTAATACACACGAGTTGTGAAGGAAACATGAAAAACTATTTGGTTCATCTTTTCACATCATGCATAGGAATAGCCAAAGGATATTCCTATGTATGATGCAATTGCTATAGCCATGACTATACCTACTTTATACTCGCATGTGCCCTCCCCCTCATTTTTTCATCCTTCAGTGACCATTACACATTCTGCATAAATTGGTTGCCTGCCACCAGTTTCTTAGATTCAGGATTTATTTACAGTTCATAAATTTGTCTTTCAGTGGATGAGGCTGCAACTCTAGCTCATTGTGGCTGTCCGGCTGAAACAGACTGAAAGGCACTAGCTCTAGTTGCAGTAGTAAACTCTACCAAGTTTTTAATGCATTTGAACAACTTCTCCATAGATGATGTGTACAACAGACACAAGTTCCTATGCTTGAAACTTGGAATGTGTGATAAAAGCCCTAATCAAGCATACAGAATACTCTATAGTGGCAAAGGTTATGTAAGGGTGAAATCCCTCATTAACTCGTAACAGCAAAAGAATATACAAGTCAATTTATTATGACTTTCAATTTAAATTCATTATTTTCCATTCAATCTGTACAAAACAAACTGTTGGACCAGTCACCGAAGTTGACGCCTATAGTTTATGTACATGCAACAGCAAAAATAAGGTACAGACATTACTTACCTGCTTCATAGTGATACAACCTAAAGCAGTTAGGTGAATACATACACACAAAATGAAATAAATAGGAAACACATTGTACATAGAAGTAACATACATGTAACCCTTGTAAAGATTTTTGTGCTTATCAACCCGCTAGTAATAAGAGCCACAAAAATATATGCGCACAAAATGACTAAATATGCGACTAAATGGGTATTAAATT